TTATTGAAGATCTTTATGCGCTTCTTATTGAATCGTAAATTCTTCTTTAACAAAAACAAATCACTTTTTATTTTTATTTTTTTAAATAGATTTTAACAAATGACATATATCGAGCAAATTTCATTAAAAAGAAATCTTCAACTTAGTAAATTAATTTTGTTTCCTTCAAAAACAAACCCTTGTTTCAGAAAAAATTTTCATTTCTTACTCATTTAAATACTTCAAAATTACAAAATTTTTTTCAACAACGCATTAATTAAATAGAAAATGTTTTAAACGATCAAAAATATCATCAAGAACTAATTAAATCTGCACATAAACAAATAACTAATGAAATAAATATAGATTCAGAAAAACAAGAAATTTTTCATAATTTAAATAATCAATTCTATCAATACAAAAATGATTTTAATCAAATTCAAAAACATGATTATTTTGAAATCCAACCAATATTTCAAACACATCTTGAATTAGCTATTCGAACACTTGATATAGATTTACAACTAATAGGGCAAATTTTTAATGGTAGAACATTAACAGATATTATTCCTAATAAATTATCGATTATAATAAAAACATCTTTGCAATCTATGACACCGATTGAATTACAAATTGGTAAAGATATAACATTGATTCGTGACAATTTATCAATAATAGCTATGAATATGAAAAATTGTCAGACAATAATTCATAAAAAGAAAATATCACAAGATTTACTAAGAATAGATATTGTAAGTTATTAATATTAGATTGTCTATTACCTAATCGAATACTTATAGAATGATTATCTTCAAATTATTAAAAATGAATATTTAGAACAGAAAATAAACGAAAAAAATCTACAATCGATAAAAATGGCTTTGAACAAATTTGTTGAATTTGATCAACAACAAATAGAATTTATTAATAAATTAGAAGATATTTATAAAATGTTAAATAAACAGTCAAATAAAATTCAGAAGAACTTATTAAATATTGCAACTGCTCGTTATCATTCTAATCATGCAAATTTTTCATTAAATGCTAAATTAAAATATCTTCCAGTTGATAATTCAGGAAATTTAATAGAACAACCTTTATATCTTGTTGATGAACTTAATCTTATTAGATTACCATTTGAATCAGATCGTTTTCATATTTCAAATGATAAACATTAATTAATCATTGTTGATAAAAATGAAATATCATTATCTGAACCAATCACTTGTAAACAATTAACATTGGAATCGATTGAATTTGAATATATTGATGATTATCGAAAAACTATTCAAATTATTGAAATATCATCACATTATTCAATAAATAAATCTATTAGTCTTAATGTAAAATCGATTTCCTTTGATAAATTACCAGCAAGTAAGTCCTCCTTCTAAGCAGATATTATAGAAAATCATTTTTGTTCTACAAAACTATCGTTTTCAGGCTTCTTGTTGCACAAAAATTTAGAAGATTCATAATCACTCAGCCATCCAACTGTAACCCATGGAAGACTGTTAATTAATGATAGATCTATTGAGAATTAAAATATGTAATCAAATTTAGCATCTTTTAATGTATTTTTCACAATGTTTGAAGTAAAACTTCTAACTGTTCAATGAATAAATTACATCAGTTTATTTGAAATTGAATTCTGTATATAACGAGATCACAATAAACTTTTCCGAGAGAAAATCTAAATTTTGCAAACACAAATTTCCACTAACTATCCATAAATACTTCTGTGTACTGATTTCAAGCATTTTACTTCTGAACAATAGGAGCAACAGACTGTTATTCATGACATATTTTTGAAAATCTTAAGTAATACCTTCCTTGCTCATCAAAAACTTTGATTAGAAGTCAATTGATAAAATTGGGACGACTTTAGATTTTCAAAAAAAGTGTCATGCAAATATTTATAAACTAAGAGACGAGTACCTGATTGGGGAAAAGTCTAGAATCAGAAAAAAAAGGGATTTTTTTACATTTTCGATCTGAAAAATATCATTTAGATATTTTGGACGGGTTTAACAATATCTTCTAGAGCATACCGACACAAAACAGGGTCGAAGTCTAATTCGACTTCAATTTTTAGGACTCTCTTGTTTTCCATGTTCATGCAATTATGCTTTAGTTCTTAAAGAAAAAAGACATGAAAAGTGTTCTCTCTATTATGCGCTACGTCGTACATCCTTCCGTCCAATCAACTGTATTATAATATGAAATATAACAATCGATCTATATTTTTTTCTAGATCAAGCATTATTTGTTGTCGATAGTAATGATCAACTACTTGATCATACTTATTATCATTAAATATTTCCGATTGTGCTCTTTTGACTTTTCTATACGATCAAAAAAACTAATGAACAAATATTACTTACACCTGAACAATATCTGATTACTATTCAACTGTCTGATATTGGAATTCAAATACGACATTCAATTGAGAATATAATTTCAAATAGATTAAATTTATTTGATGGAAAACGACGTGAATTATTTACATATTTGAAAGCATCTGAAAATAAAAATGAATTTTTAAAAATAATATCCAATGAATATGAATTTATTAATGCTTACATACAAAATCGACTTGATAAATTAAAAAGCGAAGAAAAAATCATTGAACTCATTATATCTATCTTAGGTAAAATAAATTATTTAAAAAAATATATTAACCAAATTCTTTTTGTTTTCATAGACAAACAGTATGATGATATTTCAATCGACCAAACTGAATACACACGCCAACAATCTCATATGGATAATCTTCTTAATACAATGAAATCGAAAAACTCAAACAATTGGATCAATGGAAATTCAAAAACTTGAAAATGATCTTATTTAACTATTAATTCAAATATCTATTCAACTTAATGATCCATTACTAATTAAACAATTTAAAAATCTTACCAATCATATGTAAGATATTCAACTTCTCAATGAACTTCGACGAATTATTCTTTCTGGTTAGTATTATTTGTTCTTATATTAAATTATATTCTTATTTTATAAATGATTAGGTATTAAAAATCGTGCAAAAACAATTGCAGAAAAATTTGAAACATTATTAAGAAATATTCAAAACAAATCTCATCGATTAAAACAATCAGAACGAATTTGATTTGAATATTTTCAATTTTTATACATACGATGTAATGAAGAAATGGAGCATGAAAAAACTATGAAAAATCGAAAAAATGCAATATGATCTTCATCAAAAAATCGGTATGAGTTATTCTAACGCATGAATATATCTAACTATCAAGCATCGTTCCATTGTGGGGTGTGGGTGTGCTCTGGAATGTTAATGGGTTCCACACCCACACTCACCCTATTACTCAGTGGATACCTTAAACCCATATCAGTCCGACTTCTCTACGTCGCATGTCGTGGGAGACTGGACCTTCTCAAAGTCGTGATTTTGGTCAAAAATCATGATTTTTCGGAAGGTCTTCTGAACGATAGGAACTATGTAGAGAGCTGAGTTTCTTTTTATAGACTAAGTACTCAATGAGATCTCTCCATTCTCAAAATATCAACTCTCTCACATTATCCCTTCATGAGATACATATATGCACAAAATACCTAAAAATGACCATTTTGTATGTACCTGATAGTATTGGTCAACTTATCAATAGTTGTTCTGTTTGAGCTCATTTTCTTTTCTGTAATGCATAAGCATGATCTCTACTAACAGTAAAAATTTCAAGTCCAATGCATGTCTGCTTGATGAGATATAGATGTCACAAAAAATCACAAAAAAAATGCATTTTTTTGACAATAGTGCCCTCAGAAAAATTTAAATATCTCGAGAACGGAACAGTATTTTTTCAAACGACTTGTGTCAAAGCTCTTAAAACTGTTCGCTCTACAATATATCCTAAATTGAACAAAACTTGTTATCCTTGATTGAACGGCTTCTATGGAAGTCGGTTGTGGTTTACAAGTACTGGCTGTTGGAATAGAAAAAGAAAAATTGATGCTTGTATTCCGGTGATTTCGAGTTGGGCTGAAATTTCGAATACAGGGTGTGATAGAGCAAAGTCTGCTCTATAAATCCCACTATGCCTCTATATCTGGGGATACAGCCATTTTTAGTTTGTAAGGACCAAATATGAGGACTATCATTTTTGTCATAGACTAATATTACTTGAAAAGAAATTTTATTAGAGAAACGAAAAGTAACAATTCATATATGGGAGGATGCAGCAGAACTTGGGAAACAAGAATATATCATTAGAATCAATTTTCGTTCACTTAATGCTGGAGATGTCAGGATCACAAAATTTGATAATTTTTACAATTTTTTTGTGACTCATATATCTCTCTAAAGGAAAATTCGTCTAAGCTGATTTTTTTACCATAACCGTAATTCATCGAGTTCTACAAGATAAGGGCACATTCGATCAGTTTAAAGATAGTTGTGTTGTTTTTGGGAGAAATCTCATGGAATAGGCCTTGTATGGTTTTTTAATATATAGTATATTTTGTTTTTTTGCGCTTAAAAACTAGGAGCTACATCTCATGTATTGAAAAACTTGTTGACGTTCTCTATAAACATAAGAAAAGAGCAAAAAATTGTAAAAATAGCTTGACTCGCCTACCCCTGATATAGGAATAGTCACAAGTGTTTATCTTAATATTGAAATATGTTCATATCTCTTTCTAAGAGAAAATAGGAAATGATGTCTATCATTAATTATGTAAATAAACAATTTCTTCTGTTTAAAACATTTTTGTTGAGTTCGAAACGTGCTATCACGGTTTCAATTATAAAAACTTTTCAAATTTTTTTTATAGAAAAAATATTCGATCGATTGCTACATATTACTTTTTTGTTAACCAAGTTTTCTGTAGTTCTTCTATAGATTGTATTTATTTTTAGTACATTAGATTGTGCTATGAGTTACAAAGATTCTTTGTTTTCCAACAAAATATCAATGAATTAATCCGTCAAATGCCTCGTTTATACTTTGCTTTCTTTTTCTCTCTAAAATATATGAATTCAAAATATATTAATCCCGTATTTACTTATTTTATTTCAATAATAAGAGAACAATCATATTGTTTTTATACTAGGAAAATAGGCTTTGAAATGTTCAGAATTATTAAATTTCCCAAGAATATGTATATCACTCAATTTAGAACAATTGATTCGCATTTCATTTCGTGTGAAATTATGTGTTGCTTGTCGTAGAAGATGATAATCGACAAAAAATGAGATGTTGTTCGATATAATAATTAACGATTGAGAAATCTTGATTGTCATCGTTTGATTTTTGACACTGTTTATATTTTTGAGCTGTCCAATTATTTACAAATAATATTTTAAGATATGGAAAAGCTTGAGCAATTCGAATGAAAAATTTATGTTCAAATGGACGTTCATCAAATAATGATATTTCACGAACATATTTAAACAATCCACCTGGAAAATTATTTGTTATGTTTCTGTAATATGTCATTGTGATGGATATGAATACACATGACAGTGACCTTTTTTGTTGCTTGGAAAATAATCAATGCAAGTAATAATTAGTTTATTTATGAAATTTATAAATGTTTGCTGAATTTGTTCTTTTAGTGGCAAACAAGATTCATAAAGAGCATATATAACTGATCGAATATTAAATACAAATTTTTTTAATCGTGATAGATGATTAATAATATTTTTCGTCAAATTATCCCC